AAAAAAAAAAAAAAAAGAGCCAGGGATTATGGTTGGTTCTTGTGGAGAAGAATGTGACCCAAGGAGACAATGTGGCATGTGGCATGGGGGTGGGGCTTCTGAGACTGTTTCTTGGCCTGTTTGGTGGTTAGGGGAGAGTGTTCATGTTACTCTTGAAAGTGTACATATTTTAAAAGTCCCTTTAGGATCGTCAGTTGAAGTACTCTATACCAGTGCACATCCTCTGAGCCAGAGGCTCTGCCTCTGTACCGGGGGGGGGTGTGCTTAGGTCCCTCACAACACCCAGCTTCCTCTTTGCCTCTGAGTGCCAGCATCGTCCACACTGAGGTACCAAGCTGCCAAGACAACAGTGCAGTTCTGCGAGAGCATGAGGCCCGTGGGCAGACAAGTGCCACAAGAGTTCACACTGCTAGGAGGCACGCGCAGGCTGTGGATTAGCACATCTCACACACCCCCGGGAGAGCAGACGCGGCCTGAGAACGATAAACATGGTTAGTAACGACACGTGTGATGCTTAAGTAATAACAGTGACCTGAAGGACAGGTGACTCTGAAAGGTGACTCATGTTCACCTAGCCCAGGAAATGACGGGTTGGGTCAGACCACAAAACTAAAGGTTAGTACTTGTTAACTACATTGACCGGCTAGTTTTAAATGGCTGGCTGGTTGGACATGGGTCAAAAAATGACGGTGGGATGGGAAGTGGAGAGTTAACCACACAGCAATGTGTGCACCTATTCTATGAAAACCACGAGGCACAGAAGGCTCCTGAAGAACACAGTTGGTGGTGAAATTTCACAAAGAACTGCAACAGTTGAAGTAAAGCAGAGTCCTGCACCAGCAGTGACAGGACCTAATCACATACCCAAGCTGCTGTCCCCAGTACACCTTGGCTTTGACTAGGCCCTGGGCTCTTGGACCTGTTTCTGACGTTACATGGGAATGAACTAGAGCCAGGCACACTTGGCTTTTGCTCAGATGCTCTCTAATAGTCAAGTCTGCGTTCACTTTTTTTTTTTTTAGACAGGGTCTCACTATGTCAACTTAAGTGGCCTGAAACTCACTATGTAGACCAGACTGGCCTCTACCTCCCTGTGTGATGGGATTAAAAGTGTTTACCACCAGGCATCTGTCTTAAAAAACAAAACAAACATTGGGTGTGTGTGTTGGGTGCAGATGGGTGTGGGGTGCATACCACCCCTGTGTTCCTGCAGGAACCAAGTACTGGAATTGAGGTTTGTACCACTATGCCTTTCTTTGTCAGGGCCAGTGAGAGCGATAGAGCCCCTGGCAATGGGATTTTGTAGAAGGGAGGGAGGGAGGTCAAGTCTGAGTACAGCATGGGCAAGTAGGAATTTAGAGTCAAGCAAAGTGGAGGCCAGTAGGAATATTGCTAAGGGGTAGCAAACATTAGCAAGGCATGTTTGCTAGCTAACCCCACCCAATGGTTCCTGCAATAGACAAACCAGGGGGAAAGCCAGCTGTGGCACCCTGTGGTTGTAAACTTAGCACTTGGGAGGCAGAGACAGGAAGATCAGGAGTTCAAGGCCAGTTTTCTACACATCGGAAATTTAAGGTCAACCTTGATCCTGTCATAGGCAGGGATATCCCCTGGTAGATGATGGGGTACGAAGTTAGAGTGGGGGTGGGGGGCTGAGTCCTTGCTAAAACTGATTTCTATAGGAAGCTCGCAGGTGGACTCAGAAAGTTCTAGAGCTTGCCCAAAGTTTGAGGAGAATCTTCATCATTATCCAGTTGGACATTTGCTCTTGAGGACAAGAACGTTTCTCAGCACTGTGTCCCCAGAGTCTGGCAGGTAGGCTCAAAACAGAACAGTTGACCGAAAGACTGACCTGGGTGGCATGTTCTCCCTCCTGCCACACACAATGGCTGATGGAGGGCAGCCTGTTTCTGGTGGGAGATCCTGGGCTCCACAGGAGGCTAAGGGATACTCTCAGGAAAACCAAGTGGCCCCTTTCCACACAGAAAGCCTTTGAGTGCCAGCTCTGAAGGGCAGTGCTTGGGATTTACTGACCAATGAGGGTGGGGAGGGGAGGTGGGGAAGGCTAGCTGGTGTGTGTGTGTGTGTGTGTGTGTGTGTGTGTGTGTGTGTGTGTGT